GGCAACTCACGGCAGTCCAGCTCCAGGTTGAGCTGTTGTTCAGCATCTTAACTGTGGAGGGCAGTGTCACTGGCCCTCATATGTGGGATCCAAACCGGGGCCCTCTGGTGTCCCAAGCCAGCTCTTAACCAAAGCGCCACTCGGCCGGCCCCCAAAAGACTTTTATGTCATCTGAGTTCATGGCCCTCAAAGGTAATTTGCAGTTTTAGACAGCCAAGGGATGGTTGATATCCCATGGTTGTGATGGGTGTCATTTTACAGGTAACACCTTTTTAATAGACAACTTCACCATCTCTGTTAACCATTATGCCTCCCGCAGGATCTGGGGGCGGGGCGGGGGGGGGGTTGAGATTTCCTCCTCGCTATCTAGCACAGTGACCAGGAAAAAAGATATTAAATTTGCCCCAGCTAACAGGAAGATATTGAACCACTTCAAGAAAAGCAGCTCAGCTCAGCATGAGTGTCTCTGTCTGAGGCTGAGAAAGGGAAAAACCAGGAAAAGCCAAGCAGAAGGAAAACTAAGAAGGGAATAGGTGTTGAGGCATTCTAGAAACTGGCACATTCATTTTCAGTTGCAAGTGCAGAAGATCTACCCAAGTTCAAGGGAAGAGGATAAAGACCCCACCCAATTATGCCTGGAACCAGGCATAATTGGACGGTTCTCTGGGGCCTCACTCAAGCCTTGATAATAGAGAGGAAGTAGGCATTGAATAAACAGAAGTAGGTTTTGAAGTGTTTTCCCAGGGTTGCTTCATTTACTCCACCCAAGATGTCAGTCCCATCCAAGGATCTTCCCTCTTCCCCCCAATTCCTGAGCAGTCACTTCAGCTTGGACAAATGGCCTCCAGATTCATATTGCCACTCCTCCATTTGACTAGTGCTAGAATTTCCCTGCTTGCCGGCTCTGCTCAGAGGTTCCCCTGCTGGTCACCTGGCCTAGTCCTCACACCTTTCCAGCACTCGCTTCTCTCCCATCACCTTTCCCCAAGTCTACCTGAACATGCACATAGCCACCCAACCTGGCAGCCTGTGTTGCCATCACCTGACACCTAGAGACATTCCCTATTCCTGGTCAGTGAATCTACAAAACTGACCTCAGTCCCTAAAATCATGGGAAAGAGAGCCCAGGATCTAGCAATGGGCCGTGATGGCTGTATGGGGAAAACACACACACACCCTGCCCCCACTTTCTTCCCTTCATCCCCAGATGTCCCACCTCAGATCAGAGACATTCTGGATGGGATGGGGCCCACAATTCACCCTTCACAAGGTAACTCTTAGTGACCTCATTACAGTAGTTTTGTAATGTGGTGCACCAGGGCTTTTTTGAACAGATCCACACTGCTCTAATTAATTGATGTTTCCATCCCCAATGACTCAATTGTCAACTAGTGGACAAATTAATTCCCCACTGAAAAAAATCAAAGTGCTTCTGAGAGAATAATATATGTGTTAATAAGCATTGGGATTGATGTTTTAAAAGTCATACAAGAACAAGTGTTCATTGAGGGTCCAGCATGTGCTGGGTACACTTCGAGGCACTAGAGTGTCAGCAGTGAACAAAGCAATGTTCTCCCTTCATGGAGTTTATATTCTAGATCATAAATAAGCAAGTAAGTGTATGACAGGTTCTATTAAGAAAGATAAGCAGAGTAAAAGCCTAGAGAATGTCTTGGGGAGAAGGGGTCCATCTTGGATAAGGCGATCAGAGAACACCTTATGATGAGGTGACATTGGAACAGAAATCCAGTGGAGTGATGCATGTGGTGTCTGAGAGGAGAGTGTTCCAGAGACCAGGAGATGCAGAGGCCCTGAAGTGATAGCATGGCTGGGTTTATGAAGTCTAGAGTGAAGGCTAGGGCAGCTGGGTCAAAACAAGGGAGTGAGTTTTTATTTTGTTTTGTTTATTTGTGTGTTACTTCTTTGTTTTATATTCCACATATGAGTGAAATCATATGGTTTTTGTCCTTTTCTGTCTGACTTATTTCACTTAGCATAATACCCTCAAGACCCATCCACTCTGTTGCAAATAGCAATATTTCATCATTTTTGTGGCTGAATAATATTCCATTGTATACATGTACTGCATCTTCTTTATTTATTTGTCTATCGATAGATAGTTAAGTTGTTTCCATATCTTTCCTATTGTGAATAATGCTGCAATAAACATAGGGTGCATAAATCTTTTCAAGTTAGTCTTCTCATATTCTTTGGATAAATACCCAGAAGTGGAATTGCTGGGTCATATGGTGGTTCTCTTCTCAATTTTTTTGAGAAACCTCCAAAATGTTTTCCATAGTAGCTGCCCTAATTCACAATCCCACCAAGCCTGGTATGAGGGTTCCTTTTTCTCCACATCCTAGCCAACACATGTTATTTCTTGTCTTACTGATAATAGCCATTCTAACAGGTATGAGGTAATATCTATTGTGGTTTTGATATGCATTTCCCTAGTAATTAGTGATGTTGAGCAACTTTTCACATGCCTGTTGGCCATCTGTATGTCTTCCTTGGAAAAATGTCTATTCATATTCTCTGCCCATTTTTTAATTGGGTTTGTTTATATTTTTGTGGTTGAGTTGTATGAGCTTTTTATATATTTTGGATATTAACCCCTGATTAGAAATATCATTTGCAAATATTTTCTCTCATTTTAGTGGTTGACCTTTTGTTTGAAATAAAAATGTAACAAACAAACAAAAAAATACAAAACAAACTTATAGATACAGATAACGGAATGATGGTTACCAGAGGAGAGGAGGAGAGGGATGGGCATAATAGGTAAAGGGGGTTAAATATATGGTGACTTATAGAAACCAGACTTCTGATGGTGAGCACACAATAGAGTATATGGATATTGAATTATAGTGGTGTACACTTAAAATTAATGTAATGCTATTAATCAGTGTTACATCAACTTAAAATACATAAATAAAATTTAAAAAACAAGGGAGGGAGTGTGGAAGGGTGAAGGTCCTAGTGATGGCCTTGGGCCACAGCACATGGAACCTTGTGGTCTTCAGAATATCACTTTCTTGAGGTGAAGGTGGTCAGGAGAACCCCCTTTTGTTTGGGTGTCAGATTCCTCCCATGATGATCTCTGCACCATTATTTCCAGTAGGCTTGTGATCAACCAGAATCCTCTGCAAATCTGCTTTTGCTTTTCCTTGTTTTCATTATATTTTCCTTGAGCAAGAACCTCCGTACCTTTCCTCCTGTGAAAAGGACAAATATAAGAGCTGCTGACTTGAAAACCTTATCATCTACTAATCCATAAGTATAAAAATTCCCAAGTATAAAGCACTAACTTGAAAAGATATATGCACCTCTATGTTCTTTGCAGCATTATTCACAATAGGAAAGATATGGAAACAACATAAGTGTCTATCGATAGACAAATAAATAAAGAAGATGCAGTACATGTATACAATGGAATATTACTCAGCCACAAAAATAATGAAATATTGCTATTTGCAACAGCATGGATGGATCTTGAGGGTATTATGCTAAATGAAATAAGTCAGACAAAAAACGACAGAAACCATGTGATTTCACTCATATGTGGAATATAAAACAAAAAAGTAACAAACAGGGCTGACTGGATGGCGCAGTTGGTTAAGAGCGCAAGCTCTGAGCAATAGGGTCGCCGGTTCAATTCCCACATGGGCCAGTGAGCTGCGCCTGAGCTGAGCTGCCACTGAGCTGCCAACAGGCAGCCAGATGGCTCAGCTGGTGAGAGCGGGCGCTCTTAACAACAAGGTTGCCGATTCGACTCCTGCATGGGATGGTGGGCTGTGCACCACCCCCACCAACCCCCACCCCCACCCCTCCACAACTAAGATTGAAGGACAACAACTTGACTTGGAGCTGATGGGTCCTGGAAAAATACAATGTTCCCCTTCCCCAATTCCCCAACACTGTTCCCTTCCCCAATTCCCCAATAAAATCTTGGGGGGGGAAAAGTAACAAACAAATGAAGGGGTCATGTGACATGATGTCAGAGAGAATAGAGAGGAGGCGTAACAAAAGAAAAGGGTTAGAGAGATATTTTTTTTATCATTGGAGACAGGAGCACCCAATGCCTTGTTTAAAAACGCTGATTGCAAACATTAATCACATCTCTAGCAGATCTTTCATGTTTATTAAGAAGTAGCACCTGTTCTGTTTATCAGCACTTGGTTACTTACTGGTCTTCAGGGAAGCACCATCTTCCTCCAGCTCAGACTCAACGGCTCCCCGCATCTGTTCTGCATGCAGACTGAAGGAGGTTCTCTAAAATGGCCATCCCCAGATCCAGGACGGTCTCGATGGACGCCTCCCCTTGGGCTGCGCACTGCTCACATGGGTCCTATCTGCCAGGATGTTTGCCAGGAGAGCCAGCCAGGCTGAGCACATGGGTGAGTAGTGGAGACACTCCCGCTGCATGA